CGAAAATCTGAAAGACTTGAGCAGTCATACTTTGACGCCAGATTTGCAATCCCTGATTTCACCCTGATAGCACCCCACTATAGGGTTGACAATTTCAAGTTCGGTTTCTTTATTACATCTAAATTTTTTATAATATACAAATGATAAAAAATGCCATATGTCGAATACCAAAAGGATTTGGGCAATCATACTTGAACGCCAGAATTGCAACCCCTGCTTGTACCCTGACAGCACGCCCACTATAGGGTTGAGAAATTCAAGTTCGGTTACTTTATTTTACATCTAATTTTTTTGAAAAAATTATGAAAAACGCCATGTCCCGAGAATCTGAAAGACTTGAGCAGGCATAATTTGACGCCAGATTTGCAATCCCTGAGTTCAGCCTGACAGAACGCCAGTATAGGGTTGAGAAATTCGACTCGGTTACTTTTTTTTAAAAAAACGCATTTTTGAAAAAAAGCATAAAAACGCCATGTCTCGAAATGCAAAAAGAATTGAGCAGTCATACTTTGACGCCAGATTGATAACCCCTGATTTCACCCATAAAAACGCCATGTCTCGAAATGCAAAAAGAATTGAGCAGTCATACTTTGACGCCAGATTGATAACCCCTGATTTCACCCTGACAATTTCAAGTTTGGTTGCTTTATTACATCCAAGTTTTTTTTAAATATACAAATCATAAAAAATGCCATTTATCGAATACAAAAAGGATTTGAGCAATCAAACTTGAACGCAGTTTTGCAACCCCTGATTGTACCCTGACACCAAGCCCACTATAGGGATGAGAAATTCAAGTTCGGATTTTATTTTACATCTAATTTTGTTGAAAAAGTATGACAAAATCATGAAAAACCCCATATCTCGAAAATCTGAAAGACTTGAGCAGTCATACTTGAAGCCAGATTTGCAACCCCTGAGTTCAGCCTGGTAGCACCCCACTAAAAGGTTGAGAATTTCAAGTTCGGTTGCTTTGTTACATCTAAGTTTTTTTAAGTTTTAAAATCACAAAAAATGCCACATATCGAATACCAAAAGGATTTGAGCAATCATACTTGAACGCAAAAATTGAAACCCCTGAAATCAGCCTGACAGCATGCCAGTCCAGGGTTGAGAAACTCAATTCCGTTACTTTATTTTAAATCTAGTTTTATTGAAAAAATCATGAAAAACGCCATATCTCGAAAATCTGAAAGACTTGAGCAGTCATACTTTGACGCCAGATTTGCAATTCCTGATTTCACCCTGATAGCACCCCACTATAGGGTTGACAATTTCAAGTTCGGTTTCTTTATTACATCTAAGTTTTTTATAATATACAAATGATAAAAAATGCCATTTATCGAATACAAAAAGGATTTGAGCAATCAAACTTGAACGCAGTTTTGCAACCCCTGATTGTACCCTGACACCAAGCCCACTATAGGGATGAGAAATTCAAGTTCGGATTTTATTTTACATCTAATTTTGTTGAAAAAGTATGAAAAAATCATGAAAAACCCCATATCTCGAAAATCTGAAAGACTTGAGCAGTCATACTTGAAGCCAGATTTGCAACCCCTGAGTTCAGCCTGGTAGCACCCCACTATAGGGTTGACAATTTCAAGTTCGGTTGCTTTGTTACATAAAAGTTTTTTTAAATTTAAAAATCATTAAAAAAAGCCATATGTCGAATACCAAAAGGAGTTGAACAATCATACTTCAACGCCAGAATTGCCCTGAGTATACCCTGAGAGCACGCCACTAAAGGACTGAGATATTCAAGTTCCGTTGCTATATTTTACACTTTATTTTTTTTTAAAATCAATTTAAAAATCATAAAAAACGCCCCAACCAAGAGGAATGGAGCAGTTATACTTTAATGTCAGATTCATAACCCCTGATTTCACACTGACAGCACGCCACTATAGGGTTGAGAAACTCAAAATCGGTTCTTTTGTTTTACATCTGTTTTTTTTTAATGAAAAAAATGAAAAACGCCTTATCTCCAAAAGCCTAAAACATTTGAGCAGTCATAGATTGACGCCATATTCGCAATCCCTGATTTCAACCTGATAGCACCCCACTATAGGGTTGATAATTTCAAGTTCGTTTGCTTTGTCATATCTAAATTTTTTTTAAATTTAAAAGTCATTAAAAAAAGTCAGCTATCGAACGCCAGAAATGCAACCCCTGAGTGTACCCTGACAGCCCGCCGCTATAGGGTTGATAAATTCAAGTTCGGTTACTTTCATTTACACTTAATTTTTTTTAACAATGAAAAAATCATGAAAAACACCATATCTCGAAAACCTAAAAGATTTGAGCAGTCATAAATTGACGCCAGATTCGCAATTCCTGAGTTCACCCTGATAGCACGCCAGTATAGGGTTGACAAATTCAAGTTAATTTACTTTATTTCGTAATTTTTTTAATGAAAAAAAGTGAAAAATCACGAAAAAAGCCATATCTCGAAAATCAAAAGGATTTTAGCAGTCATAGTTGAAAGAACGTCAGAAAGGCAACTCCTGAATGTACCCTGGCAGCACGCCCTATAGGAATGAGCAATTCAAGTTCGGTTCTTTTGTTTTATATTTTTTTTAATGAAAAAATCAAGAAAAACGCCATATCTCGAAAAGCCTAAAACATTTGAGCAGTCATATTTTGACGCCATATTCGCAATCCATGAGTTAACCCTGACAGCACGCCAGTATATGGTTGAGAATTTCAAGTTCGGTTTATTTATTTTATGTAATTTTTTTTTTCAAATGAAATCATAAAAAACGCCATATCTCAAAACCAAACGGATTTGAGCAGCCATACTTGGACGCCAGATATGCTAGCCCTGATTATATCTCGACAACACCCCACTATAAGGGTGAGCGACTAATACTAAATTTAACAAAGAGGCGAAGTTGCAATTCGCATACACAAGCAAAAATATGACCGATGACGCTTCTGTGAAAAACTGAATGAGTTAAACTTTGAGTTTGAGTCTACAAAATTTCGTAAGTGACCCACGCCAATAATGACACAATAGCAAAACCAGTCAATTTGAAAAAAAATTATCAACTAAGATGCCTCAATTTAAAAAGCAGTCTATGGAGCAGTAATAACATGAAAAAAATGTAACATAAAATGAATTTTTTTTTAATTTGAAATTTTATGTAAAAATCATCCCCCATACACCATATTAAGTACAAAGTGATATATTTCGCTCCTAGTAAAAAATAAATTTTAGCAAACAATTTTCCTTCAACCTTTTTGAACAATTTCTACGACGGATGAAATCTCGGCTTACGCGTTAATAGCGCAAACTCTATCGCGCGTTTTGTCCCAAATTGGCCCAAATGGCAATTTTTAAATCCTCATAACTTTACGATAAATGATCACACTTAAAATATCTTTCCAAAATTAAACATAGGACAACAAAAACTTTGGATAATTTTCAAAAAATCCCGTCACAATGGCTAGTTAAGTCGAAATTTGTCTGAAGAAAAATAGACCACCGCGCACAAATATTCCGTTACTTTCGTTACGAAAGTTGGAGCACGAAAGGTCTATGTTAAAATACTTAGCATTGGCTGTACTTAATAGCTGGTATTGATCAAAATGACTTTCAAAATGAACACATTTCATCGCAACAATATTTGCGTCGCAACAATATTTGCGACTTAGGTTGTAAAAAAAAGATAATTCATACTGTAACACAAACATTGCTTGTGTAATCAATTGTGAAACAAAAATTTGATAGTTTTGCGTTGCGACTATAGAAAAAATCTAGAGTTAAAGCTTTCGCCCAACATAGCAACTTCTTACACATGTTCCAATGGATATTGGTCTTAAACATGTTCTTTCGTGTAAGATAGATGTGTTTCTATCTTAATTTATTCTTTCTTTCTTTCTTTCTTTCGTTACACAGGCAAAAACCAGTACGTTCAAAAGGTTTAAATATGTCAACACAGGGACTTCTTATATATGTCAACATGGGGACTTCTTAAACATATCTTATTTGAATGCCAATTAAATATTGTATAGATAGATAGATGGATTAGTTGCAATCAACTCAGTTTTTCCCAGAAAAAAAATGGGAAGGTCGAAACCAAGTCAAAATTTGGGAAAAGGCAATTCGCAGATTGACTTCAAATGGCAAGTCAGAGAGCCAGGAACACAAATTATTGTGTCCTCCTTCTTTATAAGTGTAATTCTCACATTTATGTCGCACTTACAGAGCCCCAACCACATTCACGAAGCAAAAACGGCGCAAAAACGCAGACCATCGAGGCGAAGCTGAACACAATCAAAAATGGAGGTTCAAAAATGAGAAGTCATACCCTAATCGCTTTGCTGTCTTAAGCAGATACTTGCTCTGCGAGAGAGTAAACACATTATTATAACAGAAAAAACCCATGCAGCGAAATCGCTCGCCATATAGTACTTGAGCAGAATTCAAAAAAACTTAAATGGAAGGCAGTTAAAAATTAGACATATCATGAAGTAGACACGTGATCAACCTATTAGAATCGAGATAAACCAAACGTACGAAAAAAAAAATCATTTTTTTCTTACCTCGATTCAGGTTTATGTCGTGTCGACTTTATGACCTGTCTACTGTTTGCTAATATGAACGCAAAATTGAAGAAAAGAATAACAATCAATTCCGACAACTTTTATGTATTTTTTGAAATCCGAAGCACGACTGAAAGGTCTTTCAAATAATGCCACACTTGATCCTTAAAAAGTTTTCTTTGAGATACAGAAAACATACACTTACCCTATCGTTTTTTTTCCAATGAAGTGAAGCATTTCAACTATCAAAAACGTTTTCAGAAAACGCAATATTAACCTTGTTTTGAAAAACTTAAATTGGCTTTGGAGCCCCGACACCCCACCCCCCCCCCCCCCCCAAAAAAAACGCAAATAAATAATTTTTCTCAAATCAAAAATTGTTTCTTTATATGCGTACAGATACGCGGCTGTTACATTAACAAGTTTTGATACGCGAGGCGGCTAAAAATGTGTTGAATTGCAAAATTGAATTTTAGCTTAGTCATTTAGTTTACAATTTCTATGACTAAAATTTACATTGAGATCAAATTATACAAATTAGCTCATTTTTTTCAGCTTGTCATTAAAGCTGGGTGGTATGATTGTTCCAGTACTTTAAAGGTGTTTTTCTTTGTACATCACGACCGTATCCAGAACAACCACTTCGCCTTTGACGCTGACTTCTTTTTGAACGGTCTCGTATGACTCCAGTTCAAACTTGACTTGGTAGTCGCCGTCGAGGAGCAGACGGAAGTAATCGCCAAACTCAGTGGAAGTTACAGCATGGCACTCCATAGGTAGCTTAGCGTCGGTGTTCATATCTTTAACAGTGATCTGAACTCCTTTCATTGGTTTTTCTTCTTGGTCAACGATGAATCCCTTTATACCCATATGAACAGCATTGATGTAATTAATCAAAGCGTCTTTGTTCTGGTACCAATACATCCACATGTCATCTTTCTTCGGATATTTATTGCAGCCCAGTTCCAAGGTTATCTCGTAGCAGTTCGAGGTGTCATAGTTGTAGTCCTGCATGCCTCCAGGAACCGGATACCAATCGGCGCCGTTTGTGATTCCATCTGTGAATGGCTTATCACCTGAACACACCGCCTCAGTGTCTTTAGACATGAATGCATGCGAGAAGGAATATACAGATGCTAACTCTTTGAATAGCGCGTTATCTGGAGTTTTAGATCGTTTCTTGTTATTCGCGATATCGTACGGATAATTGGCAACAAAACTTCCACCATGGAGATTGGCACTCAAAACAAAGGGGTGATTTTTCAGCAGTTTCATAATAATTTGGGTCTCCGGTTGGAAATGATGCATATCTGTTGGCGGGTGCACTTTGTCTAAGTTGTTCGTTTTGCAAATTCCCATGGCGAGCAGCTCAAAAGCAACCTCGTCATAATTAGGAAAATCCCTGTTCAGATCCACATTGTTAGCATTGGCTCTTCCCAGCAGCCAGTCTTTCTCGTTCCCTTTGGCATATCCATCAGGATTCATCGTTACAATGATGTGAATTCTGGTGTTGTCGACCAATCTTGTAGCTGTATCATTCTTGTCGTAGTTTTCTACGAGCCACTCAATTAGGTTGATTAGAATTTCTCTTCCAACCACCTCATTTCCATGCATGTTGCCCACATATTTGAACTCGGGTTCCAAAGGTTCGTGTACTTTTGGATTGTCTGAGATAATGATATCATACACCTCTACGCCATTGACAGATTTTCCCAATTTTTCAAGGTGGACTATTTCAGGAAAGTCTTTTGCGATTTTCTTAAGGAACGCTTCCAACTCTTCATTGGACGTATGGTGATTCAGTTTGATTTTACCATCCTTTTGACAATTTTGAATACTGCACGTAGTTCTGTTGAAATAAGCCTCCTCCGACAGTTTCTTACAATTCCTGCAGTCTTCAGCTTGTTCCTCGGCTGCTACCAAGCACGACGAGATAAGCAAAAGGAAGACTCCCAATGGAGTCATTTAGTATTAAAGTCCCCCCAAACCGGAGAAATTTCTATAAACGAAAAAAATAATTAATGTACAATACTAAAATTTTAATTAAATTCAAAATACTGGTTAACTAGTTAATAAAGCATGAATGTAATGGTTTAGTTGCATTGGTTTTATATACACTGATAGCCGCCATTTTGTATGACCTCTGTATATAATTACCATGGTTTCTTGAATTTAAAAAATTGTTAGTTCGGAGTTGCAATCAACAATAAGCCTCATGAAATATACCGATTGTCAATGCGAAAAAAAAACAAAAGGAAAAAGATTAAAATTTCGCTTAGTGAAGATTTTCAAAAGAGCCATGCAACTTAGAAAATAATAAAAACAAGGAAACTGCCGAGCAAGATTTACTATATGTGACAACAATATGATGAGAATTGATTCCATTTGACGCCAAAGTGAGAAAACCATATTCCAATCAATGCAAAACACCTTGCTAATTTCTGAGAAAACGCAAAAACTACTGAAATTACTGATAACAACTGAATTTTGATCTACAGGCATATTTTGTTTCGACTTTCGGAGAATGTGAGGAATAAGTATGATGTGGTTAATTTTATTTTAGACAAATTTTTGCACAATTTGTTGAGTAAGAAAGGATGCTAAAAGCGTAATGCGAAATAATTTTATGCCTCCGTAATCCGGCTGAGAAAAATTTTGAGCTTAATCATAGGTAAATCAGAGCTTTCAGGGCTTCGTTCCAATGAACCAGCAGTCTTGTTGTTGCGACTATTATCGAAGAAACTGACTTAATGTTTGTGCTCGGGCTGGTTTTTTTTTCTCCAGACAAATTTCGACTTTTTAAGTAAGAATTTTTGACAGATTTATTAAATAACGCTCGAACGTTATTGTTTTTCTGAGCTCAAATTCAAAAGGATATTATACCTGTGATCGTTTTTCGTGAAGTTATGGGGGTTTAAAGATTGCCAATTTGGCCCATTTGGAATAAACGCGTAAGCGGAGATTTAATCCGTCTTAGAAATTGTTCCAAATTAAATCGAGGCGAGTTTTTTCAGTCTATTCGATACTTCACTTTAAATAGCGTATGGGTTTATTATGTTCAAAAAAAAATTTGAATCTTTTTCATTTCTTAAATGTCACCCATTTTCTAAAAGCGAACACTACTCCATTCACCTTGACATGCAGTCGGATTTTTCAGGGCTTCGAACTGATGCGACCTTTCTTGTATCACTTTATCTTTTGGGGGATGAATTTCAAAAACCAATCTCAATGAAAAATTTGGTAATTTTTCATTTTTTTTCTGAAATTTTCAGTAAATTTTTTAAGTGAACATTACAGCATAGACTTGAAAAGAAGCTAGTTTAATTGACCTCATCAAAGATGAGTTCGAAAAACTCATTGTCTCATTGTGAAAGTTTAATTTATGTCAAATGCTTCTAAAGGAGATTTGGGCGTGGAAAACAAAACATTCTAATTGTTTTTGTAGACACAAAAATTTTTTGTAAGATTTTTGCATGTTTCCCAGGCTCTTTTCCACTTCCCACCCACATTGAAATTCCAGTTTTGAAAAACTAATTTTACGCTGTCATAATGTGATTAATTTTTGCATGGAGAAAATATGAAACCTGGGGGATGGATAAGTGCCGTTTCCCATTATAGCTGGGGTCTTACCTTACCAGGAGACGTAGCAGAATGGTCTGAAACAGAATGGTCTGAAGTCAGAAAGGGTCTAAGGGCAGTAAAAAGAGAAAAAAATTCTGGCTATCGATAAAAGAAACTCTATGTTTATTTAATTTTCCTTTTTTTGCTTATTCATGTATCGACGATTCTTGTACTTGCTTTTATCGATTCGCTCGTATATTATTTGTATGTTTTTCTGCTCTTAAATATTTTCTGCTCCTGGACCATTCTGCTCATTGACCGTCTTCCAGCTCCCCAGTATCAAAAGTTAATAGACAGCTCATTACAGTAGGTCATTATTATTATGATGTGGGCTATATTTTGCTGGGGGCTCTAATGGGAAAGATGCAATGTGTCTCACTCGTAAAACGCCTTTTCTGAAGTTTTTTAAAACTCACGTCTGAGTTACATAATCAATTAAGATGCGCTAACCATCTCATGAGAAATAAACTGCAAAAAACGTAGATGTTATTGATTTCCATTTTTGCCATTTTGTTCCGCAACAATAAGTCCAAATTTCAAATTTTTAGGCCATGTCTTGCACACTATGTGCATTTGTCACTATGCGGAGTTCAATTGTTTCGGTTCAGCCAATTGAACGATCCTACTAAGATGAGAGATTTATAGTTGTATAAATTTTGGTAGTTTGTCTATGTTAACCTTTTTCAGTGTTGTTGATGTGTGCTTGTGGTGAACAGTTTGAATAATTCATCTGTCGTTTTCAGAATATGGCACAGCAGTCAGTTTTCCTTGTTATGGTCAATGGGCAAATCGAAAGTGGAGTGGTAAGTAAGCTGCGAATTCCATGGATGTTTAGTCTACTATGTATCTTTTTTTTGAGCGTGGTGCTGTGGAGAGGAATCGGACGAAAGCTTAGAGCATTACTAAGTTAGGAATAATTGCCTACAGTTGTTTTCGAAAATAAAACTTACGAAAATTGTATCAAACAGTTGGCAATCAATTTAAAAATCTTCTAGTGCCAAGAAAGCGCTGAGAAAGTTTGTCCTCTGATAGCACCTATGACCTATAAAAATCTTATTTCATTTGCATTGTGATCGAAAATTAACTCGATTGGAAGAAAATGAGTATTATTGCGAAACAGACTCGATATCGCTTGTTTCGAGAAATCATATACTTGCAGTAAAATTATACTTATAAAATATTTATGAGATTCAATTCCTAAACTCATTTTTTTTAGTTTCCCGAATTCAACGACTTATACTTGAAGTACTCGTTTGTCCACGGCCCTGACTGGATTATAACTTCGGTTAGTCATGAATCGCAATTAATTGATTTTCGAAGATCATAAATAAATACATTTCATTTTTGAAAATTAACCCACTTCGAAAGTATGAAAATAATTTTGTTTTTCATATTTTTATGACGCTTTTTCAGGGCTTGGAAGACGGAATTTCCCAAGTGTCTAGGAAAAGCATAGATGACCGCGGTCTTTTCACGTGGAATTTTCCAATTGAGGCAACTTTCAAAAGCTCAAATCCTTACGGCTGTAAGTAAACAATTAGAATCGTCGAGTTTACGAAATTAGAATAGTTTAATGGAAGCTATTTTATACTATTAAAAAGATATCAATGCCAAAAGCTAAAAATAAAAAAGTTTTATCTGTTATCGATAAACTGTGTAATTTGGTCACTCATCAGGTTGCGTTGTTTTGATGCTTCCAGGGCCTCAGCTGGTTATCAGCTGTTACGGAACAGATGTTTTTGGCAACGAAGTTGTCAGAGGGTACACATCTTGTCACATTCCAATTACAGCCGGAAGGTTAGTGTCGAGAACCTTGGGTTCCCTTTTACTAAAAACGCCTTAAAAAGTCTTCAATAAACAAAAGCTTCTGAAAAAGCTCTGTTTGATTGTAAAATAACGGGAAAACCCCAAATTACGGAGCTACCGAATAGATACTCAGTGGCAAGTAAAAATTAAACTCATGAACTATCATGACTTTGTCTAACTACGAACCATAGGACCGCTTTTTTGCAGTTTGATGCAGACCGCAATTCGTTTTGTTGTTGAAGTTATAATTTATAGTTTGACCAATTCAAAAACTCCTTGTTTCAGGCACAGAAGGAAACTGGGCATGTTTGTGCCGCAGTCATCATCATCATTTCAGAAATTCCTTGGGTTAGATAATAATGCACAAAAAAAATAATTCAAAAAATACTAACTCACACTTCGCGCCTCAAATTTGATCTCCAAACAACTTCAAAAGTGTTGAACTATTTTTAAATTACTGTATTTGATCGCTTCTATAACTTAGGTTTTATCGTGTACATTTTTTGGTTGCAGGTGGTTCCTAGGAAAAAGACCGGAGTTCATTGACCCCAAAGTAGTCGCACACTCAGATGGACGCGAAGGTAAAAAAAATAATAGCTATACTGCAATCAATAGCTTCTTGCATGAACAAATCTCAGTTGATTTTCAAAACTAATTACTTGAATACAATTTTTTGTCGACAAAGTGGAAATTTGGTATAGTTTTACGATATTCATTTTTTGCTAACCAACCTCAAAATTTTTCTAAAGGCGCCGTGGTCGCCAATATGACTAATTTTGAGGGGGAGCGCGCGCCAAAAAATTGCAATTTTTTGGTCAAAATTTTCAAAAATGTGCCTAAAAACGCCTATTTAACGTGTTTTTGTAAATAGGCGCAGAAATAGTCTTTCCGGAGAGCTCGGAAAGTGAAATTGTTTGACCTAAAAAAAAGGTCGACAAAATTTTCAAAATTTTTCGAAAAACCGCCCCCCCCTAAAAAAATTTCTGCGCTCGCTACTGCATGGCTTCAATTGTAGTGAATATCGATTTGTGACTCATTCATCTTAGTTTGGCTTGGTGGAGGAATCCAACATCAATTTTCTCTCGAATGATTCAATGTATTTTTTTTTTTATTAACAGATCATCCAATCAGAAAGACAGTTTATTCAGTAGGACATTCATTCTGTTATGCAGTCTCATGGTCTTATTTATTCTGTTCTTTAAGTAACTAGAGTGAGGTCTCAGGGATATGTGGGTGTGAGCTTCAATGTGATCACTAGGGACATGAAGAAACTGGGCCTAGATACCATCCCCTCCGAAGTGTCCACTCACTCAGCAGTCACCGCACAAGCACTATCTCAGGTTATTCTAGAATTGTTTCGAACAATTGAATTGTTCGATAAAACAAGACTGCTGGTATCAGAGCGAAGCCCTGAATGCTCAGTGTTTTTAAGGTATATGAAGTAGCGTTCCTTTTAAAAATATGATGAATTTCTTTTTTAATTTTTGAATTTTTTTGAAAATCGTTCCCCCACACGCAGTGTTAAGTACGTAATAAATTAGTTTGCCATTATGAGTTTTTAATTAGTCCAAATAGCATGCCTCAATTCAATTTGGAACAATTTATTTGAGGGATTAAATTTCCACTTACTCGTTTATAGCGCGAAATATATCGCGCGTTAATGGTCCCAAATAGGCCAAATGGCAATCTTTACACCCCCATAACTTTAGGAAAAATGATCACAGGCAACTTATCTTCTTAAATTTGAGTTGAGGACAACAAAACCATTCAGATGATATAAAACAAATCCGTCAAAATTGGCTAGTTAAAAAGTCGAAATTTGCGTGAAGAAAAAAAACCACCCCGAGAACAAATATTCCGTCACTCTCATTGAAAGTAGGAACAATAAGATTGCTCGTATCAGGGCAAAACTTTGAGTGTGCCGACTGCATTTGGATTTTTATGGAGTAGTTAAAATAAAAATAAATGATAACATTTTCAAAAAAAAATTCCAGATTTTTTGTTGAAAATTATCCTTCCCTACGCTATGTAAACTTCAAAGTGATATAATTTGCATATAGCAAAGTTTTAAATAGACCAAAGAGCATGTCTCAATAATCCAATTTGGAAAGATTTCGAAGACGGATTAAATCTCAATGGAACAAAGGACAATTTACGGCTTACTGTCGTCCAATAACAAATATCATTTGGGACTGTTTTTAACAAATAAGTAAGATGAGCGGCATAAAAAAGGAGCTGAAATTATATTCGACTACAGGTTGTTTTTAAATGACATTTTTTATGACTCATCTCTCATTTCAATAATACTTTATCTATTTAAATATTTTTTTTGTCATAGGTACCAATAGTTCGCCAAATTCTGGTGATACATTTTACTAGGTTTGATTTCTTTTTATATTTAATTTTTTTTCGGTGGTTGATTACCTTTGCGATTAGCAAGGGTGGTGCAACTCGGTACTAGACTTTTCCCGAAATTAACTTTGTTCACAGAATTAGCAGACTTGTTTTTCACTTAATTTTCTGAAATTGTTAAATATTAGATAAAATGGTTGTCACTAAAGTTGGATTAAATTTTACCAGATTTGTTGCAGCGCAATTTGTTTGGCGAAATGTCTACGCAAGCTTACAAACCTGAAAACGAGTCATCTCATTTGGCTCAAAAGTAAGTAGGAAAAAAGAACCAGTTTCACTGCTCAAATTGCATCATAAAACATCTGGTTAAGTCCCATGCAATGTTTGTCAAAACTTTTTTTTTGTTCCGACTTTCGTAACGAAAGTAACGGAATATTTGTGCTCGGAGTGGGTTTTTTTCTTCAGACAAATTTCGAATTTTTAACTAGCCATTTTTGACAAAATTGTTCTTTATCATTCATAAGGTAATGTTGTCCTGAGGTTAAATTTGAAAAGATGTTTTACCTGAGATTATTTTTCGTAAAGATATGGGGGTTTAAAGATTGCCATTTTGGTCAATTTGGGACAATTAACGCGCGATATATTTTGCGCTATAAACGCGTAAGCGGAGATTTAATCCGTAAGCGGATATATATCAAGCGGAAATTTAATCCTATCACGAAAAAATGGTATTATTAGCTCAAGTATTAGTGAAATGATACATCATTAATAAACAAACGTGTTTTGAAAACACCCTGTAGTATATATCTATAAGTCGGCTCATTTTTTACACGGCTTATCTTGCTTATAAATATGTTAGTTTTTTGTTTTGCTTATTACTTGTAAATAAATTAGTAAGTAGCTGGGAAATAAAAATTAAATAGGAGATTCAAGCGGAGATTTAATCTTAGAAATCGTTCCAAATTGGTTGAAGGAAGCTTATATGCCATAATTAATTTGTTACAAGGAGCGAAATTTATCCTTTTGTACTTTATATGGCGTTTGGGGGACGATTTTCACAAAAAAAATCTCAATTTTCATTTAATTTTATTACTTTTATTTTTTTAATGTTATTACTGCTCCATAAAACTTATAAGGCAAACGAAAAATTCTGCACTTCGCCCTGATACGAGCAGTCTTGTTTAATTTAATATTAACCAAATTATGAAAAACGAATTGGAAAATTTCAGTTTCTTCTGAATTTGTCCGGCTACTGTAAAGCAGCACTGTATAACATTGTTCGGAACGAAATGCTGTGAATTTTCGATAAACCACCGAAAAATATAGCGAACAGTAACACTCCAACATTGTGAAATGTATCACCAGAATAAGGCAAATTTTTGCTACCTATCACAAAAAATGGTATTAATAGATCAAGTATTAGTGAAATGATAGATCATTAATAAACAAACGTGTTTTGAAAACACCCTATAGTATATATCTATAAGTCGGCTCATTTTTTACGCGGCTTATCTTACTTATAAATATGTTAGTTTTGTGTTTTGCTTATTACTTGTAAATAAATTAGTAAGTAGCTGGAAAGTAGTAATTAATACCTTGATGACAAACTATGTTTAATTGTCATTGATTCATTAAAGAGTTTTTTTTTCATTTTTTGGATGTTTCAGGTTCACGAATTCAGCAAAAACGTGCACTCTGATCCCCTATGAAGCTATAAACTGATAGTAAACGAAGTTCATGGTCGCGCGATGTGCTATTCTAGTCCATGGAAAGCGTCATTATTACTGTCGAAATCCCCTAAATAATATCAAAAATGGTTCAATTGAAATTTTCTAAATTTATAAACCCTTAATTCAGCTCAGTTCATTTTGTACATTCAAAACGTAAATTGTATTGTATAACAAAGTGATGCACACAAATTCAGAATTGAATATCTTGTCGTATTTTGTTTTCTTTCTTCACAGTTTTTCCAGTGTTTCCAGATTCGTCCCTAGTTCCGGGCGAAGTGGTTGTCCAAAAGTTAGAATAGAAAAAAACGGGTCTAAGCTATCGGCAAAATTGGATCACCTGAAACAACAAATTATTTTTTTTAGAAATTCAAAATTTAGCAAGAATTTTTCAACAAAAAACAGGCAAATCAAACAAGGTTAATCAGTTGCCAAAAGTGACAAGAAATTTTTTTTTTATAAAGTTCAGTTTATTTTTGCAGAAATATTCTTGAATTTTTGAAATTTTTTATTCCCAAGAGGGCGCTAAACATTTCGAAAACTAATTTAATTTGAAGTTTTCTAATCGTTAACATGAGTAAAACCCTAACTGAGTAAATTTAAAACTTTTTTGCTCGAAATTTGACTAAAAGTAAAAATAATTTTATTCAGTTTTGTGGACAATCAGATAACTTTTTCAATTTTTTTTTAATATCGTTCGAATCACGACTAAAAGGTTTTTTATTTAATATAATATAACACTTAAGTCATTCCGATAATTTAATGTGGTACCTGAGATTTCGTGGAAAACAAAAAAAAGATAAGAAAACTAAAACACACCCAAAGACAAAGCGCTTCCCCATTTTCAATGATAGGAACAATCAAATAAAAGCCGTTTTTTTCCGAAAATTGAAAAACCGGGAGTGGATGCGGAGAAATTTTGTTGAAATTTTATTGTAATATCTAGCAAAAAGTAAAACAGTTATTAGTTATTAATAATAATCTCTCTTTTACTGACCATTGTTGAAGCATGCATTCCACTCGTGTTGTCTCAATTTGCCATCATTATTCAGATCACACCTCTCGATCACAGTCTCAACACACACTTTCCATCCCCCTCCTCCTCCCCCCGCTCGACTGCTGCCCCTCATGAACTTGGACTGCTCCTCCCCCCACTGTCGGATCCAGAGGGTCTCGTGTTTCTCCAGGTAATTGTCCTGTGGCTGGGTGTCGAAAAAGGCGAAGGATTTGTGCCAGAAAGTCTGGTTCAGAGACGGAAAGTGCTGTTGTAGGCTGAAAATAAATCTTTTATTCTTTACAAAAAAAAACATTTTTCGGAAAAAACCAAATTTTAAGAACTATTTTGGAACATTTTAGAGGGATTCAATTTTTAGTTCATCGAAGTTTTAGTTTTTTGTTAAAGATCCAGGAATCTAAAATCGGTGGCATATTTTTGGCTCTTTCATTGAAGTTACCATGAAAACCATTTGTTCAATCTCAACCTGTTGTGAGCCTAATGTCTGTTTTTCGTTTCAAAAGCTGTGAATTGTTACCTGTTTTCAGAGTACTCTTTGTTAAGTTCTGTTTCTATCGCTTCCACAAACTTCTTCTCGAAAGTCCTCAAAATATCTCCAACGCATTCTAAAAAAGAACAAGGATAGACACGAAATGTTCCGCTCACAGAATGTAGCACAAAATGTTACGATCATAGTTTTACAAAAACAACAAAAAAGTTTTTTCTTCTTCAAACTAGTTTTTTTTGCGTGGTGTGATAAAAAAAATTTAAGATTGAAAAACTAGTGCTGAGGTATATTTGACAGCATAATAAAATCAGCAATTTGGACAACAATCTTTGTTGGAAAGTAACTAGAAAAAAAACAAAAAAAAAGTTTGAAAAATTTTTCAATTGTTGTTCAATGATATTTTTTGAAGTTTTTGATTCTCATAGTAGCGTTAAAAACTCCAAAAACTAATAAAGATGATTAATTTTAAAATTAGGCACAAGTAAGCTAATGCTAACGGCTTAAACTAAGCATAAATGAGCCAACTCGCTCCCTTTATTTGCTCGAACTTAGACTAAAAATCAAAAACATAGCCAACTGACCTTCAACTTTTGAATTTCGAAAAAATAAATCGCTTTACAGCTATTTGATTTTGTAGAACAATTTATGATGGACTTTTTTTTGGTTGAAATTAACCCAATTTGAGAAAACTGGATCAATCGGCAAAACTTTTAGTTCGCTGTGAAACCTGATAAATAATTTTCGTTTTCGAAATTAGAAGTCAATCACTTTTTTCGTGATTTTTATAATTTTGTGGAGTTTGCCTTCCTAATTTTGTGGAGTTTGCGTTCAATAGTGGAGTTTGCCTTCCTTTTAACAAGGAACATGCACTGAAAAAAATTACTAGTCAAACCGCGAAAAATCAAAATTTAGCATGAACAAATTTTAGGACTTTTTCATGAAAAAAAAAACAAAAAAAATCAGCAAGACATATATAAGAGTACTCACCACATTCCTTACTCTTAAATATCAGGCAAACTCTTCTTGAGATTGAGAAAATGTTTCGTTTTTTTAACGTGGTTCGAATCACGACTGAAAAAGCTTTCATATGATGTAAGTAGTATGCATATAGTGCGTTAGGATCGGGGGGGGTTGTCATACATGGATGACCATTAGGTATAAATCATAATGGTCACCATGTATTAAATGATCAGCAATGGTCACCATGTAATAATCCTAATTGTCACCACATATAATTTTATACCCAATAGTCCTCATGTAAAACTTCGGTATATTATTGAGTATTCCCACTGAACGTTGTGGTTACATGTTTGGAGCGGGAAAGGATTTGCCAAATCTTTGTTCTGAAACCAGCCGGAGTGTTTAACTGCGCTATAGACTGTTTGCTCAATTCTTCTTAAAACTTTGATTCAAACTCAAATTACATACAAATACATACAAAAGTATGCTTAAGACACTATCGCTTAAATGAAAATGTTTATATCCCAGATTAACTGAGTTCCAAAGCTGAACAAAATCTCGCACTTAAATACACACTAAACGCGGAATAAACGGTAGGTCAAATTTTATGTACAGACAATTCTCATATTAAATAACTGAATTTTATTTACTATACAAAAGTTAATGTGGTGTTTTTTGTGTTTTAATCTATTCGTCGATTTTTTGACCGTGGTTCTTCTACTTCAACTGCTTCATAATCGAAAAACGAATCGTTGAAGAATGACGACTCGTCCTCATCGGAAGTATTGGCCTCCAGATCCGCGATATCCCCGCTATCAATATCACTGTCGTTGGTTTCTGCTGCCCGAATCAGACCGGGGTCTGGAGTTTGCCAACTGCTATTGACCTGGTCCATCAGTTGTCGAAGCGAGCGATGTGGTTGTGTGTTCTCAACAGCAAAACTATCCTCAGAGTATTCATCATCAATTTCCGGATGGTCCCAATTAATGTTTTGAGTGTTAGCGAATTCTTCAGACACCCCATCTAGGAAATCGTCACAATCCCACGACACTGGCTGTTGACGATCTTCAAAAAATGGCATCCATTTTTCCAAATCGTCATCATCGGTTGGGTCAGAATTAACAGCGGCTGTGTTGTCATCACTATCATCAATGCCAATCACAGTTTGACCCAAGATGTTTTTGTGACCGTAGGGAAGAGTCTGCTGACCATCATCGAGGATGTAGCGTTTGTCATCAAAAGCTGATAACGATGTTTTCGTCGAAGTCACTGTTTGCAGATTGTGTGACTCGGATGCGATTCGACTGTTTTCAGTTTTGAATAACGAGCCAGAGGTCAAGGTGTCTCGATATCGCTGATGGCTCAACATCTTCTGAGCAGCTTTCGATACACCCTTCGCCGATAATTTTCTGCAATCTATAAATATAATTATATGATTTCTAATCAATTTTTTGATGATCACTAATGTGTGGTGGTAAAAAAAGAACCAAATGCAATCTGTGGTTTTGTGTTTTTTAGGAGCTACATCATGTTAACTTGAAGGTCAGGTGCAACAAAAAAAAAATGACATGAAGGCCAGGTGTGACCTTAAAAATTAGTCATCATTAAAAAAATCGACCAACACAAAAAAAAAAAAATCCCCAAAAAAATTAAAAAATTTTTTTGCAAAAAAAAAAAAAAAACACTTTTTCGCCCGAAAAATTTTTCGAACAAAAAAAAAATTTTTTTTTTCCAAAAAAAAAAAAATTGTCCACAAAAAAAAAATCGTCCGCAAAAAAAAAATCGCCCACAAAAAAAAAAAAAAAATTTCGCCCACAAAAAAAAATCGCCCACAAAAAAAATTTTTTTCGCCCTCAAAAAAAAAAAAAATTTCGCCCACAAAAAAAAAATTTTTTCGCCCACAAATAGAAATTGCTTTCCAAAAAAAATTCCACAAAAAATCAAAATTTTTTGAAATTCGTGCTCACAAATAAGGCAAATAGAAATTAATTAATTACCTCTGGACAAAATGGAATAAAGCTTGGGTTTGAGGGATATAAACTCGGTTATAATGTCTCCTGGAAACTCATCCTTGAATTTTAAAACAACCATTTTGTTTTTTGGGTCGTAGAGAGGGTGGTTCTTCGGGTAATTTGACAAGTCAAGTTCATTCAAAATATTCCTTTTTTCGGAAATTTCTCGGTATAAATCTTCACTTTTGACTTGGTACAGGAGACTGTCTGTATCAGAATACAGTAGTTGACATTCAAAATTTGGTTTCATTATATCGTAATGAAATTTATACATGTGAAACTTTGCTAACTCAAGAACACTAGCTCCCACAATTGTTGGGACATCCCAATAGATTTTTGTTGGGTTCGAAGTGAACGCTGCCAAGTTTTCTCCAAAAATTTTGTAGGATTTAAATTCGAATGCACTAATTTCTCGCAAAGCGGCATGATAATCTCTAACTATTCGAACAAGCATCCGTTTGCGCTTCGACTCGCATGTTTTCCCATAAGCACAATTGTTCAGTAGTTTGTACAAATCCTCCTCAAATTTATTTCTAGCTTGTTGTCGTTTAGTCGTGTTCAATGTGATGTATGGTTCTAACCATGCTTCTTGTTCAAACTTCAGCACACGGTGCACTTTTTTAACTTTAAGTCCCAACCTAACAAACAATTGCAATAGTTTGTAATGAATTGTATAGTTTGACTTGTCATGCAGCGTCTGCAGTAACTTTTTGGTCTTTCCAATTGAACGTCTTGCAATGTCTTGAT